ACCTCGGAAGGATGGAAGGCTGAGTCAACCCTGAGCCGGTGAGATTTGAACCGCTGACCTGCTGATCTAGCAGTAGCCTGCAGTGCTGCTTTTAACCACTGCGCCACCTTGGCTCTATTTACCAATAGATTAGCTTTGGGACTGAATTTTTCACAGCAAAACGGAGAAAGGTCACAATAAATGGTCAAGATAGGTCAGCTATTAAAGAAAAAGAAAAGCTGGAACAAAATGGCCCTTCTCAATATCTGTCTAATAATCTGACAAAACTAATGTTTCACACAGTGATGCCTTTTCTCTTCTTTGGGAATTCCTACCATGCATATATTGGATCCAAGACATTTTAAGTATTTGATATGTCCTGAAAGCTATTATTAGACTTCATTAAATCACTTATAGCTGTGTTAACAAGTTTCTTGTGATCTTGCAGCTGAGATAGTTTGTTCTCAGCCACCTCCAGTTTGGTAGTTAACAAAATTAATGATAATTTTAATTTGTTGTTTATCCTTCTCTTCTCTCTCAGAGATTTATATCTCTGTCGTGGTTTGTGGCTGTCACCTTTGTGCCAGAGATTTCTTGGGAGCTATTTAAGGACTCAAAAATAGATTCCATCCAATAACATTTAGTACACCATTATTAATACATCTCCTGAAGTACAAGCCGTTGCCTATCTGACTAAACAACCATCTTGAATGAAAGCCAAGCTTTCATCTTTGTTGACTTTTTTACTTGTCAAATTTATATAACTGCCCATCTCACAAACAAGTGACTCTAGGTAGCATAAAGATAAAGGTTTCCCTTGCACATATATGTGTGCTAGTCATTTCTCACTCTAGGGGGTCAGCGCTCATCTCCGTTTCAAAGCCAAAGAGTCACCGCTGTCCGAATACATCCCCGTGTTCATATGGCTGGCATGACTAAATGCTGAAAGTGCCTGGAATGCTGTTACCTTCCCACCAAAGGCGGTTTCTATTTTTCTTCTTGCATTTTTACATGCTTTCAAATTGCTAGGTTGGCAGAAACTGGGACAAGTAACAGGAGCTCACTCCATTACGCGGCGCTAGGGATTCGAACTGCCAAACTGCTGATCTTTCGATCAACAAGTCCAGCGTCTTAGCCACTCAGCCACCCTTCTGTGCAGCATACAACTAGGCTAAAAACAAGTTAGCTAATAAATACCAGATAGTTGTTATTATTATTTTTAAAAACATTACAAACGATAAAAAACAAAGCTAGAAGAGAAGAAATATTGGGTGAAGATATGTTTATCCTACAGATAGTCCTTGACATGCAACTATTTGTTTAGTGACCGTTTGAAATTACGATGGTGCTGAACAAAGGCACTTCTCAGATTGCAAGAATTATGACCACTTCCAAAATAGTGCCCGCTTCTGGGATGCCACAAGGAAGCTTCTGTGTAGGAAGTCTGTACAGGCGCATTGGCTGATTCTGTTTCATAATATGTGCCAAATCATCCCTCTAATCAACAATTGATCACAGTTGAGGGAAGCTTTATTACAGACTGATCTGGCCTTGAGAATAAGCATTTGAAAGTCCCTGAAAGTCTGATGGCTGGATACAGGTATTGAGATCAATGAGTTGGAACACGAAACTGATAGAAGACCTCAATCCTACCAGTGCATTCCCCTCAAATGGCTCTCCCCTTGCCTTTTGCCATATTTCCCCATGCCTATCGCCATTGTAATACTTTGGGTTGCCTATATCACCCAAAGGCTGCATTATCTTCCAATCCATGCCCTTCAATTTCCTCTTATGGTGCTCAATGCCATCCATCCAGGAAAGGGAAGCCAGGCACCCTGAGACACTTCAGCTGCATTGGCTCCCAGTGCCATCAGGGTGCCCAGTGTCCATCTCTCCCACTGTACCCAGACATACTGACACATAGACATACACAAACACATCACAGGAATACCTTTTCTGCTACACTCACTAGTTGGTAAGGGTTTTCTTCCAATTTACCTCCACCAAACCAATTTTCTCCTCTGGTCTCACCCAAAGGAGGGGGGAATCACACAATCAGAGGCACCTACCTAACAGATGGAGTCACACCACATGTTCATCTCTTCTCTAGAGCTAATAGAGATGAAGGCAAGATGGACTTTGCAGGAGGAAAGGTCTAACCACCTCATCATCCTTGCCTAGTCACCAATTTCCATAAACTAGCATTCTGGTCAGTCTCATCAAATGAAGGGTCACACAGAGTCATATAGTCCATGTGGGTAGAGGCACTGGCAGTAAAATGGATGCAAACCCAGAAAACATGACCCAAACCACCAGTGCTGCAAATGAAGCCCATCTTCCAAGCCATTCCTTCATCCAGCATCAGGCCCACAAGCACAGGTTCATCCTCAGTATGCCTAACCTATAGGCATGATAATGCAGCAAATGTGGCAGAAAGCAGCACATCTCAGTAGCAAACATAGCCCCATTCACCAGCTTCTCCAGCTGAGGAAATCCAAATGCACATCCAATCAACCAATCCATAGCAGTCCATATAGGTTACTAAAGGGACCATCTTAATGTCTATTGAGCTTCTCTCCAGTCAGAACTGAAGATGCTTCTTGAATGAGAAACAAAACATCTTCAAGGAAAAACAAAATCCAGTTGCCTTTTGCAAAAGCACCTTTGAGACTTGTCTTGGCTTCTGTTCTCTGCCACCATGTTGCAATGTCCTGCAGGGCCACTGCTCTTATAGAACAACTGTAAATGTGAACTACCGGTAATTTAACATTGGGACATTTGTATTTATTTGGATTGTGTTGTACAGTATCATCTTCTTAGATCAGATGGGTGAAATTTGATTGAAATGATATGCCTTATGGTATATAATATCTTCATCAAGCTGAGCTGAGCTAAGGTTTGAACTGGAGACTTTGCAGCTCATAGTACTGTATAGTTTATTTATCAGATAGAGAGCTATGAGTGCAAGCAACCTGTCAGTTCCACAATGTAAGCCAGAGCAGGAAATCAATTCCACAGGAAGACTAAAACTACTCCTGTTGAGATTTGCTATAATAAAATAATCTTGCAAGTCTGATTGTGCTGCACCTCTTCCTCCTTTCATTGTTCAGTAAATTAGGGAGATGTCTGCCTGAAATGTTATTTCAAAATGAATGAAATGTTATTTTACCCTGGACTTAAAAATGATTTGGCCACTTTTGTCTTGGCAACAAACCCTGCATATCTCCATCAAAGTCACCTTCTCTACTGTCTACAATACCTAACACATCAGTATCTGAGGATACCAGACTGAAATCTAATACTGTGATATGCAACTATGAAGTCAGGTATTATTTTCCTGTATAACTGTCTTTAAACAGCGATCATAAAAACTCTGGTATATTTGACCAGAAAAAGCCACAATTCTATATTCTGTAGTGAAAAATGCCTCAGATGATTACTGGTGCATCCATTGTTGATCTTGCAAATATTTAACAAGATGAGTAGACTATGTATACCTAGCATAAGAAAATCTACTGCAGGAAGGATAAACTAATCCTGGAAAAGGCAATATATTTATTGATGGGGCATGTAAGACACTAGTTTTATTTTATTTTTAAAATTAATGATTTGTACAATATCTGCAGAGGGAAAGACAGAAAATTAAGAGATGCATTTTCTACATCCCAAATTTCTGTGAACAGTTCAAGCTCTTCCAGAAAATTCAATTGCATGTCCAGACTTGAATCACTAGAGAGAATGATACTTTTCGTTTTTTTGCATTTTTTTTATTTTTAAACATAAAAACAANAACCCCTCCCAAATACCATGCCCCCCCCTCCCCGTTTCAATGGCAGCCGAAGCAGCAGCAAAGCAGAGGCTGACACTTCTGTATTTAGTTTTTTTTTAAATTCTCATCCAGTTTGATAAAAAGAACTTTTTCATTTATCTTTTTTTTCCAAAGAGAGTAAACTTAATTACTTAATAACTAAAGGTGGCCAACATACCTAATATTCTTCCTCTTCTTCATGTCCCAACAACAACAACCCTGTGAAGTGGGCTGGGCTGAGAAAAGTCACCTAGTCCAAAGTCACCTAGTCGACTTTCACACCTAAGGCAGGACTAGAACTCACAATCTCTTAGTTTTGAGGTCAGCACCTTCACCACTAGACCATATTGGCTCATCTCCTCTGATGGGAAGTTTTGGATATTGTTCTCTTCAGCATTTAAAAAATATAAGTAATGTAATTGGTAATATAATATAATAAATATAAGTAATGTCGATCAAAACTGTTTGCTTTTATAATTGTGTCTGTTTGTATGTGTGTGTGAATTTATTAACGTAGAAGAGTATGACAGGAATACCAAAATAGCATTGTAAAAAACAACAAAAATGTATCTATTTCTTAAAATATTTAGTTTTATTTACTCTGCTGAGGGAGTTTGCCATTTATAATTTAGTCTTTAACAGAACCATTATTCACTTGTAATGGTCTATTAAACCAGTAAAACTCATAGTAAATCATTCCTTTTGCACGAAAAAAGCCCTCTACATTCTATTGAGCTGTGTAATATAAAGTCCTCTATAATTCTTTATTCGTTATATAACAATACTGTTTATTTTTAAAGCACAACTCTTACTTCCAAGTATGTTGAATCGGATTGTCCGCTAAGCCATCTGCTGCAGGGGTCTCCAAACCCCGACCTGTGGATTGGCACCGGGCTGTGGCATGCCAAAAACCAGGCCGCGCAAACAAGCGAAGCCCAATCCACGGGATGCAGTCAGCATGCGAAACCACGCCTCCTCTGGTCCATGGAAAAACCTCTCTCCACAGAACCAGTGCCTGCTGCCCCAAAGGTTGGGGACCACTGATCTACTGTATGACTTAACCCAGTTTAAAGCTGCCTGATGTAGCCCATTATTTTTTCTCCTGTCTCCACAGGATTGAAAAAGCGTACAAGGAAAGCCTTTGGAATACGGAAGAAAGAAAAGGATACCGATTCCACGTAAGTATGTACTGTGAATTAACAGTCTGAAGATAGAGAGAGTTAGATTGGATCCTGTCCCACCCTTAGAACAGTGCCCTCTAATGAGATCTAGTGGTATGCCTTCCCTCTCGTGGTTCCCGGCCTCTCTAACAGTATCTATATATGTACTTGAACCCTAACTTTATCATTTTTACAAATAACTATTGAGGATACAAATAAAAAAATAAATAAAACTCAAGGCAGTGAACATATCTAACACACCTTCCTTCTCTTATTTTCCCCACAACAACAGTCCTCTCAGGTGGGTTGGGCTGAGAGAGAGTGACTGGTCCAAAGAACCCCAGCTGGTTTTCATGCCTAAGGCAGGACTTGGAATTGTGGTCTCCTGCTTTCTATCTTGGTGTCTTCAATACTGAGCCAAGGTCCTGTGTTGGGAATATGTCCCTTGATGGCATTTTTATTATGCCATGGATTATTTTAGTTGGTGTTCTCATCTGTTTATCTAATGCACCACTTTTCCTTTTTTGTGATTCTGAATTTATTGTTAATTGTCATTCAAAATAATGTTTTAGTTGGGTGGGTGGCCTATAAATATGAATTTGTAAACCAACACACACATACATAACTGGAGCTGTTTCATGAATGAGGCTGTTTTACACAAACAATGAAAGCACAGTTGCTCATTTCTCTGGTTCCCTGATAGGACAACTATATTTTATCTAAATAGTCAAAGAAATGAAGCTTGCAAGTTTGATTGAATTCATTCAACACTGTGAATATAGAGACTTACTGAAAAGAAAGAAAGAAAAAAAGAAAGAAAGAAAGAAAGCTTTTCTGATGTCCGTGAAGAATTGACTTGGATTATTTAGTTACAGTATAGCACAAAATTCTATTGTTAGTTTACAAGAGTTTTTAAAATGAAACTGTTTTCCAGGGTGAGATGCTTAACAGTTCCTGGATATGTGAGGGGGAAAATATTTTAAGTATGTTGCTGCTTTCTGTTTCTCGAAGACATTTTTCCACACCTACACCTTTTTTCCCCTGAGAAGTTTCATAGCAAATATCAAAAAAGCTTAAAAATTGGAAAGTAGAGAGATCAAGGAAATTCACAAGAATGTTTCCATTTTTGACATATGTGAAAATTCTTTTGATCATCCTGCACCAATTTTTTTGAGTACTATGATTACTGCTGATCAAATGCCTCTCCTTTAATTATGTTTATTTGAAATGTTTTAAATCATGTTTTTGCATAATGTGTAAAATAAAATAATTTTTGTAGATCAGATTTATGGAATAGTTTATCACCTCCACCCCCTAAATTGTTTAAATGTGCAGAATAGAGAAAATGTCACCCAATGTCCCATTTTCCATCCCTATTCTGCTCTGTTAAGTATATTCAAAGGTTAAAGCTGGAATAAACCAAAGGCAGGAATAACTCTTTTGGAATTCTCCATGCTCATTATTGACAGTATTGTTTTCAATGATTCTGGAAAGTTCTGTTATGTCCTGCCCAAAATGTGAAGCCAAGTTTTGCATAAGAGGTAAAACTTTACCATAGACTTGGTTTGACTAAATTCCTTAGTAAGGTGCTAGAGGAAGATGCTTTCAGCTATTCATAAAATCCATTTAAAATGACAAGGGGGAGCCACATTGAGTGCATTGAAACTCCTGGATTTATTGGCCTATTGAATATATGAGGCAGTAGATTAAAGATAGAAAACATGTATCTGTTTGTATGCTTGCATGTGTATAAAAAAGGAAAGCAGTGGAGGCAAATCAGTTAAGAAATCAAATGTCCAGTTGGTATTAGCGCACAGGCTGTTTCTTAGCATCAGGTTAAAGACGCCTATAAAACAGTTGGGGTGCACTATCTGCATCACTAATGCAGATTGTAGCCTAGGGCATTCAGCTGAAATTATCTAAATGAATGTTTGTAGTGAAGTAAGTGTGTGTGTGTGTGTGTGTGTGTGTGTGTGTGTGTGTGTGTGTGTGNCTTAATCCATCCATTTCAAAAGGTTTGCATAGATTCGATCCATGTAAATAACATTTAAAAAGTAAGATAACCACTGTGCAAAACCATTCCAAATTCAATTCCACCACTTGTTTCTTCTATTCTTTAATTTAAATTGGTTTTTGAGTTTTATAGGCAGACTCATATTTAAAACAATAAAAATCCCTCATCAGCTGGAAACACTTTCTCTTTCTGTATCCTTCTGTTTTGGGCCACCCCAACTTTGTCAGCCTTGTGGCTGGAATTTTTGTCACCGGCTTGAAGATCTTCTCTTGCTTCTTTCGAGGATTTTGCAATATCCCCAAGATCAGCAAGACATATTCTTCCTGTTCACCGTCTCTTCGGGACAGTTTAGGCCCGTTTGCCACCCAGTGGCAAAAGTATTGGCTGTGGTCTCAGAGCATTGAGACCACACAACCATCTCATCACGACATTGGCTCCTCAGCAGAAGGATACTTTTCTGAGGGTGAGAGTGTGTCCATCTCTCATCTCTCACTCAGTAGTTGTGGAAACAATATAAATATGCAAAAGGTGTGCAGAGATTGAATGTATGTATGATAAACAACTTTTATCGTTTCACTTGAATTTCATGAAATATTTTCCTCTACCTCTAACCTGAAATAATATGGAATAACTAATAAACAGCTAATATAGTAAAAGAAAATAAGCTGCCTATAAATTAGCTGTCCTAACCATTTCTAACTCTAAAAAAAATATGGCAATATTGCTTCAATCCATCAAGAGTGGGTGGCAAATCATTATTTGAGGGAACTTTTGAATATTTATTCCTCCTCCTCCTCCTCCTCCTCCTCCTCCAAAATGTTGTAGTTGAGGGGTGGTTTTCTGATCTCTTAAAAATAACAATTTATCACTTTTCTTTCAAATAATTCTCAATCTGTTTTCCTCTTATAAGTAAGTGAGAATCCATTGTAAAACGACCATCTGCCTTTATGGAAACATTTAGATAGTTATAATATCTCACTATAGATGGTGTCTTTGACAACTTGGTGATATCAAAGATAATATCTGATTAATCTGGAGGGAGTGTGATACCTGTGCTTAATTGGAATGTTCTATTACAAGTATAATTGGAATGTTCTATTACAAGTATGTTGTGTTTTTATTGTTTTTTTATTGTTTTTAACACCTTCAATTCAATATTGGCTTCTGGTGACTCCCTGGATCCCTGCAGTTCTGGCAAGACTTTGGAATCGTCTGCTCTCTGCTCTCCAGGTTTCTAGTCTGGTACCTTAATTACACCCAATTGGCTTTCATTATGTTTACTTACAATTCTGTATGACTCCGGATCTTGATATTTTAACTATTAGCCATCATTCATTGGTTTCCAATATTCTAACCTAAATGAAGAGTTATATACCACATTTTTCAGAGTATAAGATGCACCGGAGTATAAGACGCACCAAGACTTTGAAGAGGCAAATTTTTAAAAAAAGTTTTTTCACTCTGCAGACCTTCCAAAAATGGCCCATGTTTTGCGAAAACGGTTCCAATTTTTTCCCCCCAAAAGGGCATGAATAGCCTTTAGGAGGCTTGTAGAGTGCTTCCGGGGAGGGGGGGAACACAAGCAAAAATGGCCATTTTTTTTAAAAGGCATGAGAGGTAGGGGACACAATTGAGCAAAAATATGGCCCATTTTTCATTCATTTCTGCCCTCCCCAGCCCCCAGGAGCACTCTGAAAGCCTCCTAAAAGCTATGCACGGCCATTTTGGTAAAGGGGGCAGGGTTTCAGAAGGCAAAAAATGCTGTATTCAGTGTATAAGACACACCCAGATTTTCAGCCTCTTTTTTGAAGGAAAAAGGTGTGTCTTATACTCCGAAAAATATGATATTTTCACTTTGCATTATAAGACTACTGTCTCATGCCAGCATTTCTAAGCATTAGTCCCCTCTATGTGACATCTGCTATTCTTTCTTGTAAAGAAGTTCAGTAAAATATTAATGAGCATATCAAATGGCCATGCCAACCAATCAAATTGTTCTTGTTTCTCTGAAGATAATTGTTTCTTCTCTTTTTTTCCAACAATGAAATATATTGAAGGAGTCAGAAAAAATACAAAGCATTATTTGACTTCACACTAAATTTACACAAAATATTTTAGGTCATTCAAGTTCTGAAAATACTGGGAATGGTTTAAATACCTGGATTATATGCAATACCTGATGTAGTACCTTGTACAAAAAATAAAATATATTTAATTGATAGTATTAAATGGGCCTATACCAGTGGTGGGTTTCAAAATTTTTTAGAACCTCTTCTGTAGGTGTGGCCTGCTTTGTAAGAGTGGCTTGCCAACCATGTGACTGGGTGGAAATGGCTTGCCAGCCCTGTGACCGGGTGGGAGTGGCATGCCAGCCATGTGACTGGGTGGGGGTGGCCAACTTGTAAAATGTGGTGAAACTCACTTAACAATGCTCTTGCTTAGCAACCAAAATGTTGTTTCAGAAACTCTGGCATTTGAAGCATGCAAGTCTTAAAGCTGTCAAGTTACAAGACCCTTGCACTCCTAACCCTTTAGGGAAAAAAACCCCCAGAGGTGTTCAAACTTGACAGCTTTAAGACTTGTGGACTTCAACTCCAGAATTCCTCCTCCAGTCATGTTGGCTCAGGAACTCTGGCATTGAAGTGTGCAAGTCTTAAAGCTGTCAAGTTACAAGACCCTTGGACCCCTAATCCTTTAGAAAAAAACCCCAGGGATGTTCAAACTTGACTGCTTTAAGACTTTAAGGTTTAGATAGGACTCTTAGAGGTGGGCAGGGCGATTGGGGAGCCAGCCAATCAGTGAGGGGTGGGCGGGGCAAGCGTGGTGCGGATGGGCAGGGGGAATAAGCTGGAACCGGTTCTAAATGGCAGATTTGTGTAACCTCACCTATAGAAGAGGTTAGAACTGGCAGGAACCCACCCCTGGCCTATACATACATACATTCTCCATCGTCTTCTTTCTAGTTTGCAGCAAAAGTTATTCTTAAACCTAAACTAGGGACAGA